TCCGTTATGTGGGTGAGATGGTTTTTTTCATACTTATATTTTTTAAAATAAGCAAATATATTTAAGTTTTATTTGTATTTCATAACTAAAATTAGTGTCAATAAACTATAATCATTATATAAAGTTTTATTTTACTTCCAAATTTCAAAAACTTTTAAAAATACATCCATTCTAAAAAAAGTGGGCCATCTCTCCTCGAATTACCCTAATTACGATAATATATGCTTGTTTTTGACAGTTTTGACGTTTATGTTGTTGTTTGCTGTAGTCGATGTCACTGTTATCGATGTCGTAAGTTAAAAACATTTAATTAAACAGTAATTTAGCTTTTCAAACGCGGATTTCGACGTTGGTCGAATTCACGAAAAGTAAATAGTTAAGATATGGTGTTATCTATAGTAAATGTTGCACGAATTATTATATCGCTACAAGACGGAAGAAGTTAAGTTTAGGTATCCAAAACATTAGGTATTCCAAGAAATACAGTACGGAGAGCTGTTCATCGCTATCATCCAAGAGATTCGAAATGTGAATGTAAATGAAAGAATGGTTAGAAGACTCCTAATGAAAGTGGGCTACTGGCAAGAGGGCCGCTATTATTCCCGGATTACAACTTAGAGACTGTATAAATCGATTAATTTTTGCTCGACAACATCAACACTGGGATATACACGATTAGAGCAAAATTCTCTTTACTGATGAATTGCGGTTCAATTTGAAGTCCAGTGATGGCTGAGAGAGGGTATGGAGACGATGAAATGAAAGATAAAGCCTAAGCCTAAGCTTGTAGGTACCAGAGCAAAAAGGTTGGTGGTGGTGGTAATATGGTTTGGGCCAAAATTTCATTTGAAGCTCGAACTGAACTTATTTTCAATAATAGCGTCCTGAATGTTTACCGGTATATAGAGGATGTTTAGGCAGATGCAGTTGTTCCATTTGGTCCATTTATTGGGGACTATTTTGTATTGATGCTTGATAATGCACTGCCGCATACTGCAAGAATATGACAAATTACTTGATGAAAGTAAGAAATAATACTCTAGAATGGCCAGCCTGCAGCCTTAATCTGAAGATCATCGAACATTTTTGAGATAAACTTCATTGTAGGGTTAGAAGTCATCCAGGTCAGCCAGAAAGTCTTGCAAAACTTCGTATTCCTCAAGTTTGTATTTAAAATTTGTTCCTTTTCCTTCCAAATCGTATGCAAATGTTTATTGATGTTTTAGAATATAATACTCAATACACAAGGTTTGATATTACTCAATACACAAGGATGAAGAAAACAACAAAACACGAAAAACGATCCAGAAATTCTTACAAGGGATTTAAACAACAATGTCATATGTAAAATTTTAATCTGAAAAATTATAAAGAATAGGAAATAACTACAACATTTAAAAGAACCAACACACTAAAATATATTATTTCCAAAACCAAACTCAACATGACACAGAAAAAATCAAAGCACTGCATTTAGAAAATACCGTGTTAATGCAATAATGTTTATCTGGGAGAAACTGTAAGACCACTAAATGAATCATACATAAAAAGGGAAGATTTTGACAGATCTCAGTATGTAAAGATGCCTGGGAAAATAAGTGGAGATTTTAAGAAAAATATTCATCAATAGTCATGAGATAAACGGACAGCAAAAAGAAAAAAAAAAGAAGCAGCCCTCATCTTATTAAACACATCAATAGAATGTAGCAGGCTTTGGTCATCAATACTAAAAAAAGTCAACAGAATAGAACATGCCGACATTAATGAGTTAATAATACACATTATCTATAATTAAGTATCACAGACAGATTAACAATTGAGATAAATACGAAGGTTTTTATATCAATTCGAATATTACCTCTCATAATGGCCACGTTGACAAAATATTCGACAGAAAGAAAAGAATGTAGGAACGTATAACATCACATCCATGAACGAACACACTAAAATCCACAAACTAGAGAAAGAACTGACTAAAATACAGTGAAATAATATTGGTATATCCAAAGTAAGAAGAAAATGAGAACAAAAAATACAACTAAAATCAGGAAATTTGCTATATTATAAAGGTAATGAAGAAAATACCAACAATGGAGTAGGATTTATAATAAATAAAAAAGTAGTTAAATACATACAATCTACCAAGGGCATATAAGATAGAGTAGCCATACACGACGCTTAAATTAAAAAGAATGTCCTTAAAAATCATACAGGTGTACGCTCCAACAAGTACCTACAGCGATGAAGATATTGAACATTTCTACGAAGACATAACAACAGCTATGGAAAAAAAGAAATCAAAATTACCGCTAATAATCGGGAACTTCAATGCCAAAATATGAGGACAACTATATAAAGAAGAAGACAAAATAGGAAATGACACCATGAAAACGGCAAAAGAAATGATAGAGGATACACATTGATGAATTACTTGGAAAAAAGCAAATATATGCAATGAATACATTCTTTAATAAAAATCTCCAAAGAAAATGGACCTGGATTAGTCACAATGTTGAAACTAAAAACCTAATTGATTATATTCTTTCGACCATAGACTAGTCCGAGCCAAGCTGATCATTGATAGTAGATTTGAAACAAGAAAGAAAATGGAAAATAATCAGAAATTAGACATGGAAAAGTAAAACAAGAAAAACAGAAGTACGAAGAGAGAATAAAGGAAATATTGCAAACCCAGGAAGATATAGAACACAAACATATCGATGAAATAAACATGATATTTACTGAAACTCTAATGATAATGAATAAAGAAATAGCACAGACAACAACAAAAAAAGAAAGTTTTATAACCTAGGAAACAAAGATTCTTATGAACACAAGAAGAACATTACTAGAACAAGGGGACAGAAATAAAATGGAATACAAATAAATAAACAAAACCTTTAAAAAAAATATCAAGGAGTGTAAACGGAGAGTACAAGAAGAAAAGATAGAGAAAACAATTGAAAAAATAGAAACATGAAATGCTTAAAGAAGAACATGGAAAACATATAAATTAATAGAATAAAGAACAAACAAGGAGTGGAGACCAACAATATAAAAGAAATTTTACAAATAACGCACGAATATTATACAAATCTCTATAAAGCAAAACAAAAACCAACCCAAGAAATCCTTAATCAGTTGACAACTGAAAATAAAGAACAATAACTCTGACCTACAACCAGAAATCAGTAAAAATGCACTAAAAAAAAGGCACTCAAAGAAATGAAGAATACCAAATCTCCTGAAAAAGATGAAATAACTGTGGAAATGAGAAAATGTTGGGAAAACTACAGTGGAAGTCTTTTATGTACTAATAAATAAAATATTGAACACAAAACACCCACCACATGGACCAAGGCAATAACAACATTACTATTTAAGAACGGCTATAGAAAAGATCTGTTAACTAAACTATTAATAAACATTTTAACAACTAAGTTAGATAATTACCAGTCAAGAGAGCAAGCCGGTTTTAGGAAAGGATTCAGTACAAGCGACCATCTGCTTACGATAAAAATATTAATTGATATTAATATAAATTAATATTAATTGATAATATTCAACACTTGAATCACTTGAGATATGCCATTGTATTAGTAACAGATAAAAGGGAAAAATGACATAATATGATAGACTAATTAAATAGCGAATCAACAAAAATAGGTCTATAAATGAATTATAATAAAACGAAAATTATGACCAAGCAACCAGAAGAATTAATAATTACAATTGCACAAATAACTATAGAACAAGTAGAAGAATATGTATATTTGAAACAACTAGTTAGATTAAATAAAGAAAATGAGACCAGAGAAATAAAGAGAACGATACGGTTGGCTTGGTTTGTATCCTTCGGAAAACTTTCCTAAATACTAAAAAATAGAAAATACCCACAATAATAAAAAACAAGAGTCTTCAACCAATGAACATTTTGTTCTCACCTACGGTTATCAAACTTGAACTTTTACAAAGGAAAACATGGAAAAAATAGCAAAGACCCAAAGACCTATGGAAAGGCAAATGCTGAACATCAGGCTATTAGACAAGAAAAATAATACTTGGATCCGCAACAAAACAAAAGTGACCGATGTATCAACGCAGATAGCAAAGCTTAAGTGGAAGTTCGCTGGACATACCATAAGGCAGAAAGACGACAGTTGGAATAAGATAATTATACACTGGAGACCATATAGTTACAAACGAAAAAGAGGAAGGTCACAAATGAGATGGTCAGATGACTTGAAGAAACACGCAGGCCTGAAGTAGATACAAACTTTCTACAATAGAGAGACGTGGAAGAAGGAAGAGGATGCCTATGTCCAAAATTGGACAGCAAGGGCCGTATAGATAGATAGATAGATAGATAGAATGGCCATGTCACTCAGAACATGGCTAATGCCTACAAGATTGAAGCCAAGTAAAACTGTTAAATTGGTTTATTTACAAACGCCAAATTTAATATTTAGAGGTTAAATAATTAATAATTTTTATTATCTATTAATCCCATACAAAACAATATTTAACAATGTTTTTATGGTTTTAACCTGAAAAAGATAATATTAAAATTATCGGAAGCTAGTTTCATAAAAAAGAGAATCCAAAACATTTGTTTGTCCCTATCGATATCGTAAACATCGGAAGTATACATCCAGTATCAACATTAATTTGATATCAGTCCGATGTACAAATATATCTCTCACAATGTCACTTAAGGTATAATTAATTTCTTACAAGATTGAGGCCAAGTAATTCAACTGTCAAATGTCAAATTAATATTGCCACCCAGTACCAATTTATAAACATTTATGTAGTGGTTTTCTTTGTTACAAGAGATTATTTAAAACTTTTTCGTATATTTCTATGACTACAATATATTTAACAAAATATTTCTATAAAGATTTGTTTTAAATTTATCGAATTATTTAGGAGAATATACAGTAAAATTTTAGTTAGTATAGATTATTTCTAGATGCACTATCTTAAATTGTTCTACTCACCAAACTTTCTCATTAATCTGAAACAGTCCATGCTTCCCAGTCTTATAATCCAGCTTTCCTGAATCAAATCCCGATTCCCAATTTATAAGACAAACAAAAGTAGGTATTTTCGAGTAAGGAACACCATGCGAGAACATCTTATTTACTATCTCACATCGATCGAAGACTTTGGCTCGCGAGACACAAAAAAACATTACGTAGCAAAAAAATATCACCGAAGATTTCATAATTGTTGGTTTTAATAATTTTCAATATTAACCTCGCTTACTAAAAAACTATACTACGAGTGAGATAATTTTGTGAATGTTGTTTATAATATATCAGTAATTGCGGTTTTCCCTTTTCCGTTGGGAAGATTCGAGTTCTGATTAAAATGACGTACTTTACGTCAGTATCTTTTACTTTAAACGCAGCATCATTGAATAGTGCAACAGTTAATTCGAAGAATATTTGGGATTGTAAATACCGGGAAAATTAAATTCTACGCAAAACATTTTTTGTAATCTTTAAAGGACGTTATAAAAAATAAATAAGATTTAATAATTTGGTGACATAGTTAAATGCACATTTAAACGATAAATCCACCAAATTTCTTATAGTCTAGGAGGGATCTATTTTGGATTGGAAATTTTCGAAGGGAAGCTATTTTTTTGCTGGAATCCCTTCAGGATGTGCCTATTACCGATAATCACGATATGCGCTAGTCGCAAACCCTGTGCTAAATTTTTTATTTAACAAAATCTGAAAACAATTGAAAATTTCTCATTTTTTTGCACCTATTTTCATTTATAATTCGGAAAATATTGATCCTAGAGAAAAATTATAGATAGTTAAAAGTTTCGTTATTAAATTTTACAGAATATTTTGTTAGCTAGAAATTGAAAATTTAATGGTTATTGTTGAAAAAAAAGCAATAATTGGAAAAAAAAGTACAAAAAAATGAAGTTAATCCTTTAAATGTTTTCGACTTTCTAAACTTGACTTACAAGTTCCATATTCCGCCTAGAAAAACTTTTTATTATGTTTAAAACGTGTGCTATATTTTTTTAAAATCGGTCGGATAGGTTTTGCATAATAATTTTGCAATCCAGCCTACTGGAAAAAAATCGCAAATTTTCAAATTCATAGTAGGCCCTAAATAAGGCCCTCAGATAGTTGCAATTTTTTTTACATATATAGAAAGTCTCAAACTTTTAAATGCTTTTTGTAAAATTAAAATCGGTTTACTAGGAGACCCTAGAAATTTTTTTAAAGTTATAAACATTTTTTAGGCTTATAAACAAATTAAATAACTTTACGAGCTTTAAACATATCAATTTCAAAATGTATACACTTAAAGAACATTAAAAGACGCTTCTTTTAAAAAACAAAAAGATACATTCGTATTACTGTTTGCCGAGATATTGAAGGTCAAAGTTGGTATACATTTGCCGTGTAACCATAAGTGATAGAGGGCTCATTTTTAAACAAATACCCTCGTCTTGCCAAATACTTTTTATATAAAAAGTTTTACATAATGCGCTTCATGGCAACATCCATAAAAACGACAAATAAAAAACCGTTTTCGCGTAAAATATCGCTCGGAATGCATGAGAGGTGGTGGTGAGGGACATTCACTTCAAATGTGAATCGGCGAGTATCAAGTAGGGGACCATCTTACTTACTTACTTACTCCGTGGCGTTACAACCCTTCGTGGGTTTTAGCCGACTCGACAACATGCCTCCACTGTTTTCTGTCTTGAGCAACCTCCATCCAATTCTCCACGCCCATAGTGCTTAGGTCTCCTGCTATATTATCTCGCCACCGGAGACGAGGGCGTCCGCGTGGTCTCCTTCCAGTTGGGACTTCCTGCCACACCAGTCTTACTGTTCGTTCGTCAGAATGTCTTCTGATGTGTCCTGCCCATTGGAGTCTTCTGGACTTTATTTCTTTTATGATGTTGGCGTCTGGGTAAAGTTCTTCAAGCTATTTATTAGTTCTTATCCTATATTGTCCTGATGTTTCATCAAGCACCGGACCAAAGATCTTCCTTAGGATTTTTCTTTCCCAAACACGTAGTCTCTCTTCATTTGCCTTTGTCATCGTCCACGTTTCGCTTCCATACATCACAACGGGTCGTATGATTGTTTTATAGACCTGTATCTTTGTACGTCGTGTTAGTTGTTTTGATTTTATAAGGTTTTGGAGGGCAAAAATACATCTGTTGCCGGCCTGAATCCTGTTGTTTATTTCTTGTGATCCGTTATTGTCTTCAGTTATTGTTGTTCCAAGATACTTGAATTCCCTAACGCGCTCAAAGTTAAAGTCATCGATGGTAATGTTCTGACCGATTCTGTCTCTGCTTTGGTTATTGCGGCTCATATACATATATTTCGTCTTGTTTTCGTTGATTTGGAGCCCCATCTTCTCTGCTTCCTTCTCAAACCTTACGAAAGTCTCCTTCATCCTTAATCGCGTGTTTCCTATTAGATCTATACCTTTGTCGTCGCTTTTGTCGTCTTAAAAGATCCGTCCTTATCCGAGGGGACCATCAGTTTGTTTAATTTCGGGTTTTGAAATATAAACAAAAGTAAAGGTCTCCAAAATCTGTAAGGGCTTGTAAAGTAAATTGTCACTTTTAGTAAACAAATATGTATTTATAAATTGTTAATAAATAATTTGAATTGTTAAAACGAAGGAATTTTTTTTTGTAAAAATCAAACATTTTAAAATAATTAACATTAAAAATAATTTATTTCTGCAACTTCAAGCGAATTAAATTTTCTCAAATCAATGTGTTTCATGTCCTGCCTTTGTAAACTGGATGTATACATTTTGTTAAACTGTCTTGTTTAAATACTCGAGTTTTACATATCGACAATAATTCGTCACAAAGGAGGCAGATTTTTTCACCCATCTTTTCAAATCAATGAATCTAAAAAAGTAAAATAGTTTAGCCTCTCAGATTCCAAGTATTATCTAAATTTTAAATTATATGAATTTAGAATAATTTTGTAAAAAAATTATTAGTAATATGTCAATCATTTTATATAAAATATTTAAAAATATAAAATATATTATACCTTTCAGAACTTCTCTTAAAATGGAGTCGATGAGCTCGTACAATCCTCACAAAGCAACGCGAATTATATAAACTTTTTATTAGTTTTTGAAATACAAAATATTTTACTGTTAAAACTCACGGATTTGACAATATAACTACTATACAATAGCGTGGAACATAATATGATCAAACCACTGAAAAACGTGTTCAGCACGCCTTTAATACAAGCCCTTCAGATTTTGGAGCACTTTACTATTTGTTTTTATTTCAAAACCCGAAATTAAACAAACTGATGTTCCCCTACTTGATACTCGCCGATTCACATTTGAAGTGAATGTCCCTCATCACCACCTCTCATGCATTCCGAGCGACATATTACGCGAAAACGGTTTTTTATTTGTCTTTTTTATGGATATTGCCATAAAGCGCATTACGTAAAACTTTTCATATAAAAAGTATTTGACAAGACGAGGGTATTTGTTTAAAAACGAGCCCTCTATCAATTATGGTTACACGGCAAATGTATGCCAACTTTGACCTTCAATATCTCGGCAACCAGTAAGCCGAATATATCGTTTTGTTTTTAAAAGAAGTGTCTTTTAATGTTTTATAAGTGTATACATTTTGAAATTGATATGTTTAAAGCTCGTAAAGTTATTTAATTTATTTATAAGCCTAAAAAATGTTTATAACTTTAAAAAAATTTATAGGCTTTCCTAGTAAACCGATTTGAATTTTACAAAAAGCGTTTGAAAGTGTGAGACTTCCTTTATATGTAAAAAAAATGCAACTATCTGAGGGCCTTATTTAGGGCCTACTATGAATTTGAAAATTTGCGATTTTTTTTTAGTAGGCTGGATTGCAAAATTATTATGCAAAACTTATCCGACCGATCTTAACAAAATTTAGCACACGTTTTAAACATAATAAAAAGTTTTTCTAGGCGGAATATGGAACTTGTAAGTCAAGTTTAGAAAGTCGAAAACATTTAAAGGATCAACTTCATTTTTTTTGTACTTTTTTTTCCAATTATTGCTATTTTTTCAACAATAACCATTAAATTTTCAATTTCTATCACTAAATTTTCAATTATAAATGAAAATAGGAGCAAAAGAATGAGAAATTGTCTTTAGATTTTGTTAAATAAAAAATTTAGCACAGGGTTTGCGACTGGCGCATATCGTGATTATCGATACTGGGCATATCCTGAAGGGATTCCAGCAAAAAAATAGCTTCCCTCGAAAATTTCCATTATAGTCTGAATTTCTATTGCCGCCTAGTCTATTATCATACTTAACATTCATTTCAAGGCCTACTTGTATGCCTGTACCACCAATGTACGCTTAAAAATGCAAATTTAGTGAAGTATTATTTCGTTAGCAGGTAATTGTCAGCTGATAAGAAACAAAAGGGTGAAGTAATTTCTACTGGTAGACCAACATACTGGCCTACCGATAGGAACAAAATTGCAGAAGGCACAAAATTGCAGACCTGATAGATTTCTTTATTTACAAAAATATCTCAGCCAACTATCTGGATATCAATGACGACTGGAACATGAACTCTGATCACTCACCGATAATTTTAACTATGAGTGATACAGTAATTAAAAAAAAGTTTAATCCAATATTGACTAATTAAAAAGACTGACTGATAGATCTTCAAAATAAACCTTGAACACAAAATTAATCTTGCTGTGCTATTGAGAAAGTCAAGGCAAGTTTTTTTTTAATATTCAACATGTAGCTTGGGAAAACACTCCCACAATCACTTCTAGAACAAAAAGGAACAACTTTTTAAAAGAAATCAGAGAACTCAGAAGAAAAAAAGAAAATAACTGATAATTGGTCATATGTGAGCAGATAGCAGTATACAAACACAGTACGGGTGTTATACAAAATAAACCCCTACAGTTTTAGTTAATTTGATCTATGTAGTTATAAAATATCATAAACTGACGTTTAACAAAGGTCATTATATGTTTTTATAACTTTTTTTGTTTAATAAATCAATAACGACTGAATCGATTTGGCTAATTTTAGTTTTAAAATATTTATGTGAAGCCCTAGGAAGGTCGTATGGGTGAGAAAATATAATGAAATTGTAAGGAAAATAGTAGAAGCAATTGTTTTATTTTATGTTGTACCATAAATTATAAACGTTTTATTTAAAAATCTTTTATAAAAGATATATAATTAAAAACATCCTTTCAGGCTAAACCACGATGTTTCTGTATGGGTATCA